CTGCGACGGCGGCGATGAAGGCGAGGACTTCGGGGGGATAACGCACTTTGGCGTTTGCGCTCATGGTGGGGTTCCAGGGGCCGAAGTGCATGGTTAGGGGGATGGCGGGTTCGATGAAGGTGAGCTTTTCGGCCCAGATGGCTGTTGCTATGCCTTTGGTGGTGGTGCGCAGGCGCAGGTTGGTTATCTGGTTTCGCATCTCGGGGTCGAGGGATTGGATGTGGTGCGGTAGGGCGAACATGAGTAAGGGTGAGTGGCCGATCTTCGTGTATCGGAACGTGTAGATGCCTTTGCCGTCGGGTACTACGGCGGTGAGTCTGGCTTCGCATACGAATGCTCCGCAGGCTCGGTCGTACATGGCTTCTCCCTCTGCGCCGAGTGGGTTCTTTGCCACTTGAATCGTGCCTTTGAAGGCTGGCGGGCCGACGAGCGTGTTGGCGTTGATTCTGGCGAACTTCGTGGCGTCGTAGTCGAGACTCGCTACTGGATTGATGTACATGGCCCAGCACGCTCCGTCCTTGTCTTTCAGACGATACTTTACTGTGCGGCCCATGATAATCGGTCCCACCACGTCTACGAAGCCGCGACCGCCAGTCTGTATCATAGGCGTTGCATCTCGATATCCAGCTGTGACGAAGCTCATGCCTTGAACAACAGGGAAGATAATTTTAGGTTCTTTAGGTGTGGAATGCGCGTTGAGGTTGATGTTGACGGAGAAAGGGAGATGCGTGTCCGTGGTAAGGGTTGTCCGAGCATCGAGTTCGACGGCACTGAGGATGAGATGCTGTTTGTGTAGCGGATTGATATAGCCCTTCGCAGGATGTCCCGGTTCGAAGACCAAATCCTTCTCCTCAATATGGCTCACGCACATGCCCCATGTTTGCACCGTTCCCACATCCGATGCCGACTTGCCCCACCATATCGAGTAGGGATGTGTCCAAATAGGCTGGTTCTGCTGACCCAGAAATGCATTGGCGTAGAACTTGTTCGTGTGCAGAGTCGTCTTGTCGTCATCCTCCACCCCCGTTCTAGGGACTGGGTGATGCCGGCCGATCGGTATCTGCGGAAGAATGCTGTCTTGCTGTATAGGCGTGAAGATGTTATCGGGAGGTATCTCGTCGGGAACGGCCGAGCCGTTGTAGCCTAGCGAGGTCTTGATGCCTTTACGTGTCTCGCGCAATGTCCCGAACCAACTATCTTTCTTGCTAGATTTCGATGACTTCGAAACCGGTCGGGGGTCGCCGACGCGGGATTGCGATGGTCCCATCGACGCTATCTTAGGGGGTTGAAAAGGGAGCTACCTGAGCCGAATGCTCGATGTGAACTGCGTGCCAGTCTTCTCCGTATATGCTCCTAGGCGTGATAGTGATCGCGTATCAATACAGCTGATAGACAAGTAGGTGGGTAGCGGGTATATCGGTTTAGGTTGCAGGGTGCGGTCTGCAGGCTGCGAAAGACCCATTGTCTGGTGTTACTGTCGCGATGGGCGCAGTGAGGGTTGGGAAGTGACGCCTGGCCAGTTTGCTCAATACCACGAGGTTTGCGCATTTGCGCGGTCAAACGGTCGCACCACGGCGGCATTGCGAAGGAATGTACGATGTATCACTGAGTAGAAAGAAGGAATACAAGGGGAAAATGACGTGCAGTGGTGGATCGTACCATGTGGCTCTGTAAGGAAATGTGGAAGGAGGGGAAAGTCACGGTGTCAGTGGAAGGAGGAGCTTTTCCACGTGGCTTGCAGAAGTGACTGCCAGCACATGACAGACAAGTAAGATTGAAAAATCGATCCGCTTCCATTGTAAGGCAAGCGAACCTTTGCCTAATACCGTCCGCTCACACCAGCGGTTTCCGCAGTGGCGCAATAACGCCCTGCTTAACAATAACCCTCGGCCTCGTAACGTCTTGATGCGTCTTCTTCGTGACCCACTCCTTGCCCTTCGGCACGCGCAAACTCCTCTCATACTGTTCCCTGTTCTCGAACGGGAATGGTAGCTGGCTAGCCATATACTTGACGTTAGGCTTCTGCCTCTTCTCATTGATGATGACCTTATCCATTTTCCTGTCCTTCCGCCTATCGGCATCGATACCGGGCTTCTTGGTGACCGTTTTGGCGCCGAGGTTACGCTTCTTCTCGGCCTTGGACATGCCGTCACCGGTCCAGGAGCCCCAGCCAGGGAGGATAGAAACTTCTTCTGTTGCTTCTTCATCTGCGATGGTAGCTTTCTTTTCGGCGTCGAAGTCAGCTTCGACGTCATCACCGGCGAAGCCCTTCGCCGTGAGAGCTTGGTTGCGCATGACAACGTCAAGATCGATACCTTCGTCTTCGATGCCTTGCTCGTCCATGTCCTCGTCTTCTTGGCCACCAATGACAGTCGCCCAACCATCGTCATCGGCCGTGGTGACGCGTTGCTTCAAGAAGTCGTCGACCCTGGTCTCTTGAGGTTTGGCCGCTTGTTTCGACTTCTTTTGAGGCTTGGCTTTGGGCGTAGGCTTGGGAGCGACGGCCTTAGCCTGCGTAGCGGTTGTCGTGCTACTTGTGGCTGGGAAGAGGTCAGGCTCTGTTGTGGCTTTCTTCTCCTTCTTCGCCTTAGTCAAGAAAGGGTTGGACTCTCCGCTGCCGTTCTCTACAGGTGCGGCAGCCTTGCGCTCTTTGCGAGCACCATTCGAGAGCCCGCTTAAGCCGTTCCTTTTGGCGGGCTTTCTAGCTGATGCTGCGTCCGCAACAGACTCTCCGCCTTCCGCAGTCAGGTTGTTTTCGTTCTCTGCGTCGGAACCTTCGTGCTCCTCGAACTCGCTGCGGTTGATCTGTATAGCCGGAGCTGACACGTCGGCGTTGGGACCGTATCTTCTCCGTCCTGCCTTGGTAGCATTCTCATCGATTTCGGCGTTATCGCTGTCTTCACCTGCAAGCTCGCGTCTTAGGGCTTCAACAGCTTCGTCGTTCTGTGCGCGCTTTGCAGCCTCGGACTTCTGCATAAAGGCCATCTGACCCAGCTTAGACTCCTTAGTCGAGAAGGGGTTCGACTTGAGCTTGCCGAGAGATTGTTGTAGTGCGTTGTTGTCCGATTGGTCGTCGTCATCGTCGCTCTCTTCCTCCTCGCTTGGCACATCAGATGCTTCCTCATCGTCATCACGGACGGTCTTGCCCTCAACTCTCCGACGAAGCTCCTCGTTCCGTCTGGCCATCTCAGTCACACCATCGAGCGCGTCTTGGTCCCAGTTCGCTCTTCCAGTAGCCTTGATGCCCTTGGCCCACTTGCTCTCGCGATGCTTAGCACCCATACGTTCCTCTGCTCTCCGGCGATCGTTATATTCGCGCTCTTCCTCAGACAGATCAACGCCATCGGCCTTGAGTTGCTCACGTTCCTTCTCCAGCAGCTTCTCGCGCTCCCTACGATGTACTCGCCGATAAGACTTGCTCTTGATCTTCTTGATGCGCTTGGCGCGAACTTCTTCACGGAACAATAGCTCTCGTTGCATTCGCAGTTCAGCGCGTCGCCTGAGAACCTCCTCAACTGGTAGTTTGTTCGTCTGGAGCTCTTCCCACTTCTGTATCTTCTCCTCGTCTTCCTTGCCGTTCGACAGCCCGCTCTGCTGGAGGATGGACTGAATCGTGCTTTCGAGATCGTTCGTAGGTGCGGCGGTCGTTGTGGGAAGGAGTGTCTTCTCACCCATGTCGCCTCCGGTAGGGTTCTGTAGAGGGAACATCAGATGATCGGCGCGGCGGTTTTGCTTGATAGTGTCGGTCCACCTCTCAAGAGTCTCGTTCGCTTTGGCGTTGGCCGCGGCGCGGTCGAGCTTGTCTTGCTGTCGCTTCGGTAAAGGCGCGTCTAGTTTCCTAGCAATGTCGTTTCGTTTTGAGGATTTGTCGTCTTGCAGTAGCTTGAGCGCCTTCCTTTTCTCCGCGTCGGCAACCTTGGGCTTAAAGCTGAGGAGATCGACTTTGCGGGAGACACCAAACTCGTCCGGTGCAGCCGACTCATGAACATCCACTCTCCTGCCCTTGGGTTTATCATCCTCCCGTGAAGCCAACGAAGAGATCAAGTTCTGCAATTGCGCCTGGCGGTCATCCTCATCTTCTTCGTCGGACGAGAGGTCGGATGCGCCATCCGCTGCGGGGTCCTCACCTTCGCTTGGTTGTGAGTCGCTATCGTCGAATGCGGAGGCCTTCTTCTTCTTCTCTTTTTCTCTTCGCTCCTCAGCCTCATCCTCCTCGTATTGATCCAAGGCAGTAGCTAGATCGATAGCATCTTCGCCAAGATCGTCCTCGTCTTCCTTCTCTCCGTCTGCACTGTCGCCCTCGTCGAGATCGATGTCGCCATCTTCGTCCATCATGTCTTGCTCTCGTTTCGACTTCTTGGCCTTTCCCTTGTGGTTCTTGGAACTGCCTCTGAACGTGTAGCCTTCGAAGCGTTCTTCGTCGCTCTCGCCGAACGCCTCGTCCGAGTCGATACTCTCATCATCGTCGTCGTCTTCAACGTGGCCCATCTGCCAGGTGTTGCCCTCGGAGTCGCTTCCTTCGTCGTAGCTCTCGTCACCAGACCTCTTCTTGCGCCGTTTGGGCCCGTCGTCCTCGTCCTCATCCTCGTCGTCCTCTTCGTCGTCATCGCGCGCGCGCTTCCGGTTGAAGGCGGGGTCGAATTCGCCTAAGCGGTTCTTGCGCACTTTCGCATCGTCTGGATTCTCGTACTGGGCGATGGAGAAGGCATCGAGGGCGCGCTTCTGCGCTTTCTTGGGGTTTCGCGACTTCGCATTGCCTTTGCTTGAAGTGCCAGCGCTCTGAATCGAGCTGCGTGCTACTCGGGGCGGCATTTTGGCGTTGTGGTTGAGAGGCAACGCGGCGGAGCGACCTGCAGAACTTCTGGGTTTGCACTTTTTTGACGCACGGGCCACGCCCACCTCCGCTCCAAACTCCGCAAACGCCTCGAAGATTGATGGCGGCCATCATCGACATCGTCGCATCGCTCGCTACAACGGCAGGGTTCAGCTAAACCGCCGCCATGAAACCCACGGCCTCTCTCCAGAAGATGCTGCGGCGCCTGCCGCTTTCACCCAAACAAGCCGGCAAGGAATACTACAAGGGAAACCGCGTGGGATCCATGGGCACAATCAACCGATACGGAAACTTCACACCCGACTGGAGCAAGATACGGACATATGTGTACCCACTTCATGGCACACATAACATTGAGGTGCGTACAATGATTTGTTTGGCTTGCGACAGCTGGGAAGACATTGTAGAGATCTAATGCTAACATCTGCATAGTTGACACCCTTCGTAGACTCCAGTCTAGAAAAGGTGCGAGGACTCGACGTCGGCAAGGCAGAGAACTACGAAAAGCGATTCACCGGCGAAGACTATTTGAGGGCGTGGAAATTGGCTGGTGGACATGATCTCGTCGAGACAGGGAGTGAAGCGGTAGCCTCAGGCAGGAATATACCGACACCATTCGAGGAGAGACCTGCAACGAAGTCATGAAGACGGCTGAGAAGGGACAAGAGCGATTGCGATATCTCGGGTCCAATCCTGAGAGGGAAATGATACGAGGAAGCGTTGGAACACAACGCGATGCTATGGGGAAGACCGAGTGCATGCGCAACATAGCGACAAACACAGACGTAGCGGAGCGCTTCGCATAACGTTGCTACAGCGCCGTGTATGAAGACTTCGAGGAAGCATAGCGTACGTAAAAGCCAGGCGGCTATGATGTTGTATATACTGTACATTACTTGGGTATCATATGCTGCCATCTGACCATAACACTTACACATCACATCATTTAATCACACCCCTCTTCATCCCCTCTTCGCCCCCTCTTCAGCCGTCTCTCCTAACACCAAAGAAATAATTCCCCCAATCCTGACTCCCCGCCACCTCCTTCCACCCCAAACCCGGCACATACACAACACCCATACACTTGACATTCCCCCAACCAGGCTGCTTCGCAAACCAGCTCCTCAACTCCTCTTCATTGACGTATTTACTCCACTCATGCGTCCCCTTGGGCACGATGCCCAAAACATCCTCTGCGACCACATTCGTAACTACCCAGCTCGTCCACGTCCGCGCAATCGTGCTCATTATCAACCAGCCACCAGGCTTCACATGCGGGAGGACGTGTTCGAGGAACGGGCCGGGCGCGTTTACGTGCTCGATTACTTCGAACAGCGTGACGATGTCGAAGGCTTCTGTGTCTGATTTCGGACGCGGTAGGTCCTCGATAGACGTATTCAAGTATGTAAGTTTACCCGGCGAGGTAAGTGTGGGGTCGCGTCGCTTGTGCGCCTCAGCAATGGAGAGGACTTGTGGTGTGGGATCGATTGCTGTGACGGAGGTGGTGGTGGGTAGGCGCGCGGCTGATTCAGCGAAGATGCCGCCGCCGCAGCCAATGTCCAAGTATCGTAGTTTCTCGGACGGGTTTGGTGGGGACGTCGAAGAGCGGCATGAAGTTATGAAGTCGTGGCGGAGCGGGTTCATGAGGTGGAGGAGGCGGGAGGGGCCGTGGGGGTCCCACCATGATGATGCGAGTGCGTTGAAGTGAGATACTTCTGTTGGGTCGACGGTGGAGGTGGAGTTGGGTGTTGGGTTATGGTGTTTGGGGGCGGTAGTCGATATGCATCGCGAGCTTGCTGGAGGTATTCGGAATTGGGATTGCTTGGTTGCTGTTCGACATGATGAGGTTTGTGGCAATCCTCGCTGTATTGAGCGCACTGCTCTGGCTGTGAGTTGTGGCTTCATAACGACAATTGAAGCTTGTTCGTGCCTGCGAGACGCGGTGCACGTTGATGTCACCAAAACTTTAGATCTGCGGCCTCGGCCATCATCATTTCTTAGTCATCTCTTATCGATAAAGTGATCCAACAACCCATCATGTCAATGCTTCATTTCATCTTCAATATCGTCCAACGAGGGCTTGCTATTCTTTCCTCAAGTCTATCAGTTTGAATATGGGCTCAAGCCTACAGCTTGTTGACTTTATACCGGGCACATCCGCTGCTCACACAGCCAGGCGCACTTGATCCTCTAATCATTGATCGTCACCGTCGTCGGAGATAAACATGACGTACATGATGCAATAATTGCTAATGGTAAAACAAATTCCAGAGTGACGAAAATTTGTCAAACAACGTCAGCATGTAGAGCTAAAGGTCATTCGCTGATGCACATGTGTGTTGCGCTTACCCGGCAGGCTTCGCCTGGATGAGGTCTTGTCAAGTCTAACCTATCTAGGACGAAAGGCGCATCTACATACAGCAAGTGTACTTAAAGTCGCGCCATCACAACTTCAAACTTCAAACCCAATCCGCTCTTCTCACTTGCAACTTTTCTCAAGAGCACTACTCTATTCGAAGCATCCAACATGTCTCATGGAATATGGACACCAGAGAACTTTGGCTGGATCGCCGTCCCAAGGAACCGTTCCAACGTCCCATCTGCCGAAGAGGTTGCTGGGATGAACAATGAGTTCTACTCAGACCCCATGGACGCCTGGCCTGTAACCGACGTGACAGACAAGGCGCGTGATTATGCACAGCAACACCTTTCGAAAGAGACCTACAATCACAGCATGAGAGTATTCTGCTACGGTAAGTACTCTTCGACACCAATGCTCCGCATCGCCACGATGATGGAAACAACTATAAACCCTTCAGGTCTACTAACACTGTACGACAGGTATCTACATCATCCAACATTACTTCCCGGAATACCATTCTAAGGACTTCTTCGAAACCTGGGCACTAACCTGCCTATTCCACGACATCGGCACGACCGACGAGAACATGTCCAACACGCACATGTCCTTCGAGTTCCAAGGCGGCCTCCTCGCTTTGAAAAAGTTGCAAGAGTTCGGCGCTCACAAAATCCAAGCCGAAAGCGTTGCAGAGGCCATCATCCGCCACCAGGATCCCGGTGAGACAGGCACGGTCAGTGCGATGGTGCAGATGATTCAGATTGCTACTGAGTTTGGTAAGCCATGCTTGTGCTGATAGTATTCTGGATAGTCGACCGACTGACATTACTCAGATAACATGGGACTACAACCACATCTTGTAGGCCGGGAGGTTATCGAATCGGTGACGGCGCGACTGCCTCGAATGGGCTGGTCGGGATGTTTCTCGAGCACCATTTTGAAGGAGATTAGATTGAAGCCTTGGTGCCATACTACGGCGTTGGAGAACTTTGCCGAGTCTGTGGCTGGCAATGAGCTTATGAGACCGTATGAATGAGCGGGGCGTGGATGAGGGCAAGGCATTCAGATGATGAGAAACGACGATATGTATAAGAAGACATAAGATCGTAGAGCTACAGCACTATACAGAATGCGAACAAGCCCTTCCAAGCTCATTGCTTGCGGGTACGAGACTCTCGTACCCGCCAACTCCCCACCCAAAACCCCCTGCATTATGGCGCTTAAAGTGCTGAGAGCCACTAGATTTCAACCCTCACCTCGGATCATTGGTATCAGTCACCGAATAAGTGACGCACCGATACGTGTATCTCCCAGCATTAAACTTGTTCTTAATAGTATTACACTCTTTGATCAGTTTGCGAACCGCATACCGACAATCATCTTCATTCAATTTCCAGTTGTAGCCTCTGCCACAACAATTAGCATCGCTGAAACATACACAAAGGTAAAGATCAAGACTTACTCGCACCACTTCATGTCCCCGTATGGTTCCTTCTCCCCTGTCTCCACCGTCGCCACATTCATACGCATATGCATGGGCGTATGATCGTTCGGGTAGAAAGGCGTCTCGCCTTCTGGGGGATACATGAAGCCATCGGCGTTGTTGCCGAATCCGTCGATCGTAGTCCCGTCTTTACACCATGCGCTGATCGCCTTTTCGATGTCGTCTGGGGCGAGTTTACGGTTGGTAAAGGTTGTTTTCGGATCCCAACATTGAGTTGTATAAGGCTTGTTGCTGTCCTTGGCGGTCAGAAATTCTGGCGCGGGGAAGGCTGGGTGTTCGTTCCAGGGAGGGTTGTCGAGCTGCGTGACGCCGCTGAGGTCGACGCTGTAGTCGATGGTGCCGACGGTGGCCGTGAAGCCGTGGGTGTTGTCGGAGTCGGGGTCGCAGGTGCTCAGGCCGTTGGTGAGTGCGGCGATGCATTCGTCTTTCACAAACGAAGCTTGTTGGTTGTTGCCGTTTGGCTTAGCGCGCAGCCAGAATGAGCGCCGATTGGGTACGTCGAGTTGGGTGATGCCCCAGCGCCAGTATACGTTGTCGGATTTGGCGTTGGAACTGAATTGGTGGCCGTCGTTGTCGCTGCACCAGGTTTGGATGGCTGACTCGACACTTACTCCTCCGGAGGCGGTCTTGTCGTTCTTCGGTGCGTCGAGTGGGTGGTTCAGACACTTGACTGTGGAGTCGATTTGATGATGCGCGGTGAAGGAGTATGTGCCACAGCCGATGTCGATACCTCCGCTTCCCGCCAAGAACTTGTTGCCATCGCCTACTGAACACGAATCCCTCTCCGTCAGGCCTTGGAAGGCCTCTTCACATGAAAATTGACAGTCGGTAGCGTTGTCTCCAGTCTTGGGTCTCCACCACAAGGCGAACTTGTAGTCGCTAAAATCGTCAGAGGCGTCTCGTCTCCAGAAGCGTCGACGATTCAGCTGCGATTGTTCTCCTTTCGCATTGACCATCCAGGTAACGTCTTCGGTCGAGCCGTCGGCCTTCTCACAGAAGTCGGCGTAAGTGACGTTGAACTCCGAAACCGGAAACTTAGTGTCCTCGTTGGGCATACAGAAGCTGAATACATCTTTGATGGGGATCTGCGGCTGGTACGGAACGATCCAGGGCTCCACTGTCATCGTTCTCACAGCGTATTCAGTTGGTGTGGCAGTCGGCAAATCGGTCATTTTCGGACATTGTGTTGTGCATCTCTTGATCTGACCAATCATGCTGCAAAATGCTGAGCATTCTTGTGTGCTGGATGAGCTCGAGCTACTGACAGTAGAGGTCATCGACGACGTCGGGGTAAACGACGTGATCGAGGGCGTCAGTGAAACTTTCACCATCTCCTTGAGCTCACTACCGGGGATGCGGATGGACGGGGATATGGGGCTCCCAGTAACTGACCGTTGGTAGTTCACCATGAAGACAAATAGTGCTATAAGCGTCGCTTCGTGCGCATACAACATAATCTGGTCGGACATCTCTTTCGCCATATTCATTACAAACTCCATTGCTTCTTGCACATCTGGCTGTATCCAGGTAGGAATCTCGGTTGTCACCGCCCCCAATGAGTCAAGAGCTTCGAAGGCGGCACCTGGCGAGGCATTGAGGAGTACTTGCTTAGTGGAGCAAATCACTCCGGTGAGCTGCTCACTGAAGTCCAGACTACGAGCTCTTCGTGATGATGAGGATTTGTCATCAATAGTACATTGCTGACTTCTGTCGATCAATTCTGTCATTCGCTTTCCAAGAGCCTCCGGGATGTAGATTTCAATGTCGCCAGGGGAATCATTGTTTGCCGAATTGGTGAACATGGTCTGATGGGGTGCATCGGTGCTGCGCACGTTTAGTTCAATGAAGTGAAGAGAGGAATTACATGCTTACGCTGTGGTTACAGTTGCATCGGGTTTCCGCGTGATTGTAATGATTGGCGCGTCAGATGCAGTGGCTATAGCAACCGTGGATGCTTGCGCTGCGGAAGCTGCTGGTCCCAGTTGATGAGCAGGGGCATGGAGAGCTACGGGTACACCTTTCGATGAGTTGGAGGTCACCGGTATGATATAAGCAAAGAAGACTGCAACCGCTGCTCCTACTCCATACAGCAGCTCTTCTACTTGACGTGTTTCCAGTTCGGTATTCGGGCTGACGAGAATGTCTTTGATACTCTCAAAGCATACATCATCAAGGTCGACGCAGGCGCTTTCCAGAGCGCTTTCGACTTTGCCGCGCAGTTCATCTGAAAGTATGACATCGACCCCGTCGTTGGGGCTGGGTGAGTCGGTAAAGACAATGCGTGATCCAGTAAGAGTTGGCGTGGCAGTCTAATATTGTCAGCGAAAGGGCTCTCATGTCCATCAGTTGATATTGTTTCATACCAGAGTCGCTGAGTATTGGTTGGTGTCACCCAAACTGAGCGTGAAGATCTCAGCCATTGAGACTGACAACAGTGCTCCAAAGCTGATCAAAACGATGAGGCGAACCATGATATGAGTTGAAAGATGGATATGTAATGAGGTGAAATGTGTAGCCAAGTGCTCCTGGGAATCTGCTGGTGTCTGTCTTGTCATGAACTGCCGACTTGGTGGTTCATATACACCCGCAAATACTGAACAGACCTGCATCTCAATCCAAACTTGCGACGTGTGCATCAAGCAAGTTAACTGTCAGTCTGCATTTCGGCCCTCCGTCTACCCGTCTGACCAGTCTATCTGTGCCCCCTCCTGCGTCTGGTGTTGCACCTCATGCCGTATGCTGGCATCGAGAGGCACAGGCCCGAAGTTGGGGGGCCGAGACAATCAAACTGATTGAGGGTATCAAGAGGACGATGATGTGACCGATAAGCCGAGTGTGTTGTGATGTCTGACTTCTCCAATACGATTACCGCTCCTGCACGCCAGCTTGCCTCGCCACCTCAAGCATACATTTAGGGGCTGATATCCTTACGTGGCTCGGCGAAGACACAAGACATATGTGACAAGATGACATAGCAGGTTATGTATGAGGAAGGTAACAGCTTCTGTGTACCACTGACGGAATAAGAGAGGCCACATTCTCCTGCAAATCACCCCTCGAAGGTAAAGAACGTCCAATCCGTTGAATATCACCTGTCTCTGGAAGCGAGATGAGCACATTGCTTGGAAGAGAATTGTGGCATAGTCGACTGATCTGCCACATGTGCCACTAAGGTTGACCAAGTTCGGCTGCTTTCAGAATTTCGTACAACTCCTCGCGACCGCGTTCCTGCGCGTACTCGATTGGCGTTGTTCGACCTACCTTGCACCGAATGGTAGGATCTGCGCCATGTTTCAGCAGATACAACAGTTTCTCCTTGGCGTTATGTCGAACGGCGTGGTCGAGCGGCGTAGCCCACTTCTTTGACACGTAGTTGACATCGGCGCCATGATCGATCAACACAGCCATAGTAGCGATGCCGTTCCTTTGGCCCCGAACTCCAATGGCGCTAAAAAGTGCTAACGGATCCATCGTGGCCCCATGAGACAGCAGAATCTGCAGTGGAGTTGCATCTTCCCGACGCGCCGCTGAGGCGAGGGCGGTACAAGGCTGCAGACATGACCCTCGTCTTACGGACTTGATGTTTGGGTCTGCGCCGTGATCGAGGAACCAGCGTAGTAGGTTTTCGGAACGCTGAGCTCGGCTACCAAAACGTGAGAAACAGACTGGATAGAATGATGGTAGTGCTCACTGGACAGCTGGCGTTTCAAACTCTGTACTGTTGACATCCCAGCCATGATCGATGAGTTCTTGGAACGCGGCAGGCTCGTCTCTAGCGAAAGCTGCGTTGAACGATAGAATCGATAACGTAGCGCCATGGTCCAGTAGAGTTTTGAGCATACGCAGTGATCCATTTCGCATCGCTACTGTCAGGCATCCTTGTAACTCTTTGTAGCTCGGCTCCGGGTGGCTATGAAGCCACGCCAGGAGTCTGTCAATGTCGTCCGATCCGATAGCATCCTGTATCTCCGGGGGCGGGAAGTTCATGTCGCTGGTAGAAGAAAGTCGAGGGTGTCAAGGCTACGCGCCATGATATCGAGGAGGGCAAGCATTACATACATGAAACGTGCGGCACAGATATGTGTATGTTTGGGTGGTAACACAATCGAATTGATTCCCGGGGCTGATTGACGTCATGCCAAGATACCAACCACCTCCGATAGCCCCCGCCTCACGTGGCCCCTAATTGTTGGGGGGAACCGTGCGACCTTCGTTGGGATTGGCACCACCAACATCTTCTCTATCTTTTGCGCTTTTGGTGTGCGATAGAGATAGCCCCCGGCACAGTCGATAGTAGACACACACCTGTTTCATGTTTCATGTGCCATGCCTCTATTCTGTAGCTCGCCTCATTGAGGCATGAGTGGCACCTTCCCGGCTACGGCCCTAGTCGGCATTGCTTACCTACCCCAGAATTTCTATTGCTCCAGTTTCAGTATTTATCAAAGCATTTCCGCCTGTAGATGACCAGAAGGGTAGAGAACTACTCGCGTGAGTTCGTTGCGACGTGTTGTACCATTCCAACCCGTGTATATCAGCCATCGCCCGCGCTCCCTGAAAACCTTACAAACACCGAAGTGCACGAACCACAGATCTCAAAATGAGGAGAGGCACCCTTTTCGCAGTGCTACTCGCCATCTACTGCTCGACCGCTAATGTCATCTTGCGTAAGTTAGGTCCATACTTGCTGCCTTAGCAGCATGACATTGGACTAATCAGAAGCTAGGATACGCGACAGATGTTGATAGTCCGAACCAGAAGAGGACCGAACTGATCGAACACGATGTCAGACAGCTTTCTTCGCTCGGCAGCCACCTCCACCGCCGTGCTGGTCGTGCGAAATGTAGCGCGCCTCACCGAGGACCTGGCATCGTCGAAAGGGGCCTAGAAGGCTCTTTTGACAATTCTACCATTCAAAGGCGCATGAATCTTCCCACTCCCGACACTATTGACGACTACATTGTAGCGGAGACTGGAGAAGCCGAGGCAGTCGTTTGGGGTCAACGAGACGGTAACAGTGACGAGAATGAGTTCGACACCAACACGTCGATATTCGACCAATTCAAGTTTTTTCAAGAGAATCAAATGAGTCAGGGTACCTCACACCTTATGGGCTGTACTATGCTAGTCATTGTCAGTCGCAGGGGTGTTTGGATGGGTCATTTCTGGGAAGACATCTCCTTTTCCACAGACCACACACACCACTTCTGGGACAAATACAAGGGAGACCAAGACAAAATCTTCACCGAGTCTGTTATCAAGGGTATGCGAAACGGCAAAGGAAGCGGGAGGAATAAGCAGCAGGACTCTTTAAGGTTGAATGCCGATAAGTTCAAGGACGACCATCTCAAAGCTTACCTCATCCATCCCGAATCCAACGCCGATGAAAGCGGTGACTATAGAGAATACTGGGATAAGATGAAAGAGGAAGCATGCATATATCTTCCCAAGCTTAGGGAACCAAACCACTGGGAAGAACATGCATACGAACCTACGGACGACAGGGATATACTCAACGAAACCCCACGCGGGAGACTGCTGTTCAAATACGACGCAAAGCATCTCAGCGTCGGACCGAGTGCTGATGGCACACCCTTTACAGAGCATCTAGTAATGCTGTGGAGCGAGACCAAAGAGTTGCATAACGATATATGGGTCGCGGACACTATCGAGAAGTCCTGATGCACTCTGTCCTACTTCGCAATATAAAGCCACGCCACCGCTCTCGCCGCCAACTGACTCCCAGTTCTTGCTCGGCTATCTATAAACGCCCCATTCTTTTCGTTTTAACGATCTTTGTTTGTTGCGAATATGAATGTTCAACACGGTCTTTTCACGAGAATCTCAGCTTCGCCATCTAGCAACGTCGATTGTTTTTCTTTCTACCCACACTGTACTCCTGCCTCTTTGGGGGTCTAGGACTCTGCCCGTCACTATCGTTACCAACGCTACATATAATTTACTACCTAGTCCCAATGTGCGAATCACTACATCATTATTGACATCCTTACATCTCGTGATTCAAACTGGCCCAAGCCCTCTAATTCTCTTACTTCTCCTCTTCATCCTCGCTTCCAACATCCCTACCAACTCCACATACCCACGCTTCCTAGCATCATCCGCAGCCGTCGACCCAAAGCAAATCACCTCAGGATCCGCGCCACATGCGAGCAAAACCTCCACCGCCTCTGCATTACGGCACCGAACAGCGCACTTCAGCGGCGTACCCCATGTCTGCGACACAACATCCGGAGGTACACCCTTTGCAAGCAGAAACTCCACCGATTCGGTAACCTGCGAGCGGATAGCATGAAAGATGACCGACGCATCCGGTCTGGCGCCAAACTCAAGCAAAATGTCCATGGCCTTCACCGAGCCACACGAAGCCGCCTTCTGTAACGGTGTAGCGAAGTCTGCGCATGAGCCTACCAACCGAGGATTCGAAACGACATTCAGCTCTGCGCCGTGTTCTAGCACCCAGCGAAGAGTGTTCTCTTCATAGATCGAAGCGCTTGGTTGCATGTCAATTGTCATGTTCGCTCATGCAAGAGGAAATATGCATACCCAGCCACGCTTTCTCCATACCAAAGCCCCGTACCTCCTACATCCCATCCCCACTTGAGCATCAGATCCAGTAAGCTCGTGTCCTGGTTTCCCCTCTCCAACGCAGCATCAAATGACTGACGGGACAACTTAGCCTCGTGTCTGAACAATACTTCGAGGACGTCGAAATCCGCATGTGGCATCGCCACATCAAGACAATGATCTTTATCTTTCTGTGTGACGGCCCTCGTCTCTTTTCGAGGTCGTCCTTGCTTTGTGAATTTGGCTTCCAGGCCATCGGCGTCGTTGTTCTTGATGAGCTCTTCGAGCTCTGGAGTCAAACCCATGTCAGGGACCTCTTCGGGGTATAGAGGCCCAATGATACATGTAATCATTGGTGCGGTTGTGACGGCGGTGAGGATAAAGGATCAATGTCTGCGCGACACCAACAAAGGTCTATTTGAAGAGCGGTCGATGTCATGCCAAGGTGGCAGCCTACAAGATACATGGAAGTTATGCATGTGTACGGCGTGGTTGTACCATCTCACTCACGGTTGTTGGATATAGATCTGGGACAGCCTACCAATGAGAATATGAGAAAAATGTACTTCATTGAATACAAGACCATAAGTAAGCTGGGGTTGTGACCGTAGCACCATCCAATGATCGACCCTACGACTTGCACACGAACAGTGTATTCCACAGCCGTTAACCATTTTCGTCGTTTCGCCATTTCAAACGCCGATATGCCCACCCTTCCAAGTATCATGATATCGTTGCAAGGTTGCTATAAGTGCATGCTCAACGAGTGACTGGCCGTGCCAACATGAGAAAATAAATGGACCCAAAAGAAGCCAAACATGTACGCCTTGACCGTCATCCCCATGCAGGTGTGCGCCATATTTATCCGAGAAGTTTGTCCTTGGGCAGACGCTTGAGGGCTGCCTCGACGTCCTTGTGATCAACGACCACGCCGCTCTCAGAACAACGGGCTTTGGCGCGGAGCTCCGAGCAGAGATTGTCGATGTCGATCGTGCCATCCTTGAAGTCTGGGCGACTTGAGAGCTTGTCCCTGTGCGGAGTTAGCGTACCAGGTCTCATGTGACCACAGGGTTGTACTGACCATATTTTGTGGCAGTTGAGCAGCGAGTTGACATCCTCGCCGGGGACTACCTCGTCCTCCCCATCTTGTATGCGCTCAATTTCTTCAAGAGGGTTCGTCTTCTGCACTGCAGGTGTGTCGCCGAAGTGGAAGGGGCTACCGTAGCCAGTGTTGAGGAAAGCATCATTGAAGAAGCCACCAGTGAAGTCACCGTCGCCCACGATCGCATTTTGGGTATCGCGGTACTCTCCAAAGAGGGTCGGGTCGAATTGGCCGCCGTTTTGGTTCGCGAAGTAATCGATGCCGTTGACGGCAGGTGTGGGGGATTTGGCGGCTAAGACTGCAGGAGAAGGTTTGTCGTCAGATTGGGACATCGCACGAGGCATGGGATTACGAGGGTTGCCGCAGGCCATGTTGAGCTTTTCGCAGAAGAGAACCTCACCTTCGGAGTTTCCATGACACACATAACCGTCCTTGATCGTGTCCAACTGCTGATTGGGCGAGGTATGACTTGGCTCTGGTGATGTCCCGCAGGAGGAGTCTTGGTTGGTAGGCGATGTGGATGAGTTGGACGGTGAGTCTGAATGGCTTGATGAGCCACTGTTGAACTGGAAAACACGCGATTGCGAACGAGTGGAGTTCTCCGTGTTACTGCGGGAGGGTTCGTTGTTCGTTTTGTTGTTGTCGAATCCGAAAAAGCCGTTGAGACTGCCGGAGCGCTGCGCACTACCTGGGCCCATGGCGCCAGGGGAATCTGTGAGCGAGCCGTTGGCCCTGCTGGTAGGGCTAAGGGCGCGTCCGGTGCTGTTTTGGCGACCAGATGCATTCGACGAAACCGACGTGTTCTTGTTCTTTGCTAACGGACCGTTGTCTAGTAGCTGAGCGCCAGGCAGTCCGCCAAAACGCGGGAACTCGAAGGAGAAATTGTTGTTGTTGCTATTGTTGTTCAGCATAGAGCTGAAACCTCCAGCAAGAGCAGGAGTACGAGACACTCCGGTGCTGTTGAGCGAGAGTCGTTTTCGGTATTCGCGAAGTTCCGTTTGCAGCCGTTGCACTTGTGCCCGGAGGAGACCGTTCTCGTGGTTTGTGGCATCGGAAGCCTTCTCGAGTTCTTGTACTTTGGTTTCGAGGTCTTTCAGGTGCTTTTCTTTGCGTTCTCGGAAAGCTCGTTGGGCCGCGCGATTCTGGGCTTTCCGCTTCTGTGCCTGCTGTCAGTTGAGCCAACGTGAGCATGCTCCATGAAACCTACAGTCGTGGGCTCCGAAGTCAATGGTTTGCGACCTGGCTTCTTGGCTTGCTTATCTTCACCTTCCCTGCGCTTGCCGCCGCCCTCATCATCGTCATCATCACCGTCATCCGGACTCTTCCGCTTTTCGCTCGAATCGCCGGGGGTATCTCCAGGCAGTGAGCCGATCATGTCGCCGTCTGCGTTGTCAAAATCGAAGCCATTGTCGCCGTCCAGATAGTCGACAAAGGGACTCTCTTCCATACTTCCGCCGTTGAAGCCGTTCGCGGGAGTCTGTTGTTGAGGCGACGTGAAGTATGCGGGATCGAGGCTGTCAAGAGGATACTGGAATTGGGAATTGTTCATAGACTGCTTGTTGTTGGAGCCGCTGTCTAGGCCGGCGGAAAAGATGTCGTTGGGGTTCTGGTTGTTCGAGGCCAGGGCCGCGAGGAGGAGATCCTGCTGCGTCGCATCCAGGTAGAAGGGCGCGCCATTCTGGAAATCGTTGGTAGTTCCAGCCATTGCAACTACAATCGCGAGGTAGAGGGTGGTTGGTGTTGTGTATAGCTCCGAGGAGAGCTTGCGGGTTGCTTACCGCAGCTGCGCAGCGTAGCGGAAGTTCGGAGGGGCTGGCTATCGGTCAACCACGTGCGATAACCGTTTTCGCCACCCGTACACCGCAAAATGTGGAGGAGCGGGCGCGTTGGGGTTCTGAGAGGTGGTATGAATGACGCAAGATGTTTGGGGTTGATTTGGGTAGCTCGTTCAGCGGGCGGAGGCGGGCCAGTAAGCCGACGAAGGTTTCGCGGGTATGGGAGGGCTTGTGCAGAGGGCAGAGGGCTCTGTGAGTGTAGCGCACTTGACGACAGCCGCAGAGGGGTATGCGATGTCTTTTGTCAAGAAATGGGCAGTTTGAGCGAAAGGTGGTCAGATGGTGAAGGAGCAATGGTGCAAGAAGTCAATTCGCAGCCTCACAGCCTGGAAGCCAGATCCAATGCGGCACCTGGGTACCCTAGCTGGTTGGTTCGGGCGACTTTTCGGAGCAACGCCGTTAAGCCTGTCAAAAAGCGGCCGACAACAGGTGAACGGATGATCAGCGTCAGTGATAGGTTGGGGCCGAGAGTGTGACTGTTCTCGCAGAAGCACGGCGTCAGAGAAGGGCGCAGCAGACGGCAGGCTCAGCATGCGCTTCCTGGTCTGATTGATAAGCACAAAGCTTGGTGGGGTAGGGGAGAACGCCATCGAAGACCACCACACCGGACGCTGATCACCGCGTCCGGTGCCTGGTCCTGCAGCAGGTGTGAGTCTCGCCAGAATCTCGAGTGCTGTCTGCTGGAAGGAGACTGGCTGGTTATAACAGATTTGGGGTTCTCGCTGCCACTACACTCATTGGCGTCATGCGTCATGCTGAATAAGAGCTGCCAGTGCGTCTCTCGCAGTCTACTTCCGAAGACGGCGCTTTTCTGGATAGAAGAATACTAATCATCTCGCTGCGTACTTGCGCGGTCCCTGCGACTCGGCCTCAGTTGATCATGGATACTATCTGTCATAAAAGTCGGTGAAGCAGCGTAGACTGGTGCCAAGCATGAAGATGCGGCAGGAACTATCAAATGCAGAAGTGATGGCTGCATCTGCAGACGTTAGGTGACGTGAGCAGTGAGTTTGGGTGACGGTGGTGACGGCCCCAGTGCCATTCGACATTCACGCACGCTTGTCTCACTTATAGGGCTGAAGCGCGGAGAAAAAAAGGGTCTAGGCTGTGTGGGGCGGCGCCAAGCCCAGCGGCTGCCTGCCGGGCGTCACTGCTGGTCGCGACATCCTTACTTGTACGCGACTGTGAAACAATCCAACCCACCACAACATCGCAACCACAAGTCAACCAGCGATTGCAACATGGCGGACAACACCAAGCAGATCAAGAGCGCCATCAACGCCAAGAAGCAGGCAATCGCCGTAGAAGAGCAAGGACGTGCAGAATGGGCAGGCCAGGTGAGCTGCGCACCACGGAGCTATCGCATTGACCCAACTGACATTGTATAGCTTCTGGAGATGGAGACGTTGATCGCGACGGTCGGAGAGACTGAAGAAACAGGAGCCATGCGTGCGGAAATCGTGGGTCGTGTCGCCGAGCACGACACCAAACTCGAGGTCCTGCGATCCGAACTCGCCGCTCTCGAGGCCCAGCTTCCTGAGGACGCCGCTGAACCTGCCGGTCCCAAGTTCGATATTGAGAAGCACCCAGTCCTGCGCAAGACCATGGAGAAGCAAGAGCCCGAGAAGGCCATCGTATTGAACATTGGCGACATCTGCGAGGCGCAGTGGACTGACAGGTCCTGGTACAAAGCCAAGATCCAGAGTAAACTCGGCGCCGCCTCAGCCCCCAAGTACCTTGTTCGTTTCATCGAGTACGACGACACCCTGACCGTCGATGGCTCCGCCGTACGCCCTCTGCCGAACAAGCGCAAGCGCGACGCCGAGCCTGCGTTCGCCGCAACCCCGTCTGCGCCCGTTGTCTCGAGTGCCCACGTCATCTCCGGAGCTGCTAGCATGAACCCGAGTGCGCAGGCTGCCAAGAGCGCCGGAGCTGCCCAGGACGGAGAAGAGCGGAAGGCTAGTCGCATCGCCAACAAGGGCATCCTCAAGAAGAGGCAGTCAAACTGGGCCGACTTCCAGAACAAAGGTAAAAAGAAGGGCGTTGTCAAGAAGGAGTCCATGTTCCGTACCAGTACCGAGGCTGGCAGTCGAGGTGAGTAAATCTAGCAATCTTCCCGTGTCTCATCGCTAACCCTCACAGTCGGCTTTACGGGCTCTGGCAAGGGCATGACCGAAACCCACAAGCGTCAGCGTTACGACCACAAGGCCGACGCTGACCAGGACGAGGAGTACTCTGGCGACCGCAAAGGCTTCTAGATCGTCCAAGGCGAGGTCGACGAATACTCCGTGGTACGTACAAGTGTGATCGAAAACATTTGATACTCTGAATCCCTTGCTTACGTTGCCCTCGGGCCAACTTCAGACCTAGATATACCTCAGCTACATGGAGTGATCCACTGTTGATCGAGAAGCGAAGCTTTGGCTTTGTATTAGAGGATGGAGCTAACCTGATGCAGGAGTTCGCACTCGGTTCGACTTCTCACGACTACTCGATTGAGCTCACACGAAGACCACGACATTTGCATCTTTCGGTATGACTCTTCGGTACACACTCTCGTCTGTTGAGCCAACTCACTAAGCACGACGACTCGATAGGCGTTCGATACCCACTTCATCTGACATCACTGGTCACGCATCACGCATTGGCTAGGACCAGTTACATTGTCAGGTAAGATACGTGCACTTTTACTTTCTCCTTTCGTGCGTGCGTACAATAGCCACTACTATTGTGCGTACCAACATCTGCGGCCAGGTCTTTTACGTAGTCGGTCGGACAAATAGCGTTTGGGGATTGTTCATAGGAATCAAACATTCAAGTTCAAGAACACTTGCCACCGTGCCATATTCATGAACAATAAGTGTAGACTCGTATTGTACGCGAAGGACGTTGAGTTGCCGAGCACCTTCCAAGGCGGTGGTCGCGGCTTTGTTCCCGGATGCCCCGCGGTCCCACCAGCACACATCCTCGCGTCTTCTAGCTCCGGCCTCACCCCACGCCTCGACGGTCCAACTACCGCGACGCGTCCGTCAACCACGAAGCGCAAGGCATGTCGGGACTGCTCCCTAGAGCTCCTGGACTGCAACACGCGACTTCAGCATGGAGGCGGATTGGGACGAGGTAGGTAGCCGACGGCATGCCAATCACGCCTACCGTACTGACCACTGCGCAGCTAGCCATCGCTCAATTGCCGCCCCCAGGACCACACCTACCCGCTGTACCTATATCGACATTCGCTTTCGACACCACACAAGAACTGCTATGGACAGGAAACAACCATGTGAGTACGTTCACACGCGGCCCGTGCCAGGTGCCGTGCGACTGACATCTTCGCAGGGGCGCGTCACGTCCTTCTACGGCCCTCACCTCGAACGCTACACCTCGTACCGCGGACATGCGCCTCCCGATGGCCCCGTCAAGCAATTCCTCTTCACCGAGAAGGGCATTCTCTCCATCTCTAAACAAAGCGTCCACTATTCCCACCGCCGCGGACTCACACAATGGCACCTGACGTATGTTGGCTGCGGAAGGGGAAAGAGCGTACAAGGGCAGCGGCTGACCATCAGCGTATAGGAGCGCCGAGTTCAAGGATATGACATGCATGAACTTCACCTCCAAGGGCACGCGCGAGATCCTCGTCGCAGGATGCCAGGCGCAAATGTTCAAAGTAGACGTGGAGAAGGGCATCATCACACATACGGTATATCGCATGCCTTCATCAACTACCATGAACTAACCAATGGCAGCTCCCTGCCGAAGCTCAATACACGATCATGAAGCGTGCTGGACAGTACCTTTGCGCCGCCACGAAGACCGGTAGCATCCACATCTTGGACTCAAATTCGCTTGCCATCATCAAGGTGTTCGAAGGACATACTGGTAGTATCAACGACATGGACGCAAAGGGCGATTTCCTCGCAACGTGCGGATGGTCTCCGCGACAACAATATGCATATATGCTGGATCCATTCACCAATGTCTTCTCTTTGAAGACGCTCAAGCAGCTACCTCCCATTCCATTCCACACAGGTGCAGCCTATGTGCGCATGCATCCCCGTATGTCTACTACAGCTTTCATCGCCTCTCAGAACGGCCAGATGCAGGTCATCGATCTCATGAACCCCGACTCGGCCAACCTCCGGCAGCTGAACTTCTACGATTCGTTCCTCACTGGCTTTGAGATGGCACCTTCTGGCGAGGCTATTGCACTAGCAGACTCCAACTCGCACATACATCTTTGGGGCTCTCCGACCAAAGTACACTTCCCAGAATACAGCAACCCAACAGAGACTGCAGATCATAATGTTCCACCGCCCCCACAGATGGATTGGAGCCCTGACACGTAGGTCTTACCGATTTTCAAACTTGACGCATTGCTTACTCTGCCCAGACCCCTGAGTACTGTTGGTATGCCATATTACAAGGAACAGCTGCTATCGAGTTGGCCTAGTCATCTAGTTTTCGAAGTCGGCGCCCCTCCGCCTAAGATTGATAGCACGATACTCGGCAACATGACGCGCGCCGAGATTGGATTCTACGCGAAGAACCCCAATACGAAGCGCAGAAACCAAGCCGAAGCGACACGGCAGGTGGATAGAGTGAGCGAATCGCTGTCTGCCCCCAAGTTTCTAAGTGAGAAAGCTCGGGCATCGCAGTCCTTCACCGAGCCAGATGCCCGGATAACAGAGACTATGGAGACTTTGACCGACCTGCATCTCGACGATGTTACACGCAAAGATGTTCCAGCCATGTATGGAAACGTGGAGATCAAGTACAGCAAGTTCGGTGTTGATGACTTCGACTTTGCGTATGTCTTCCCAACAATATCATTTGCGCACGCGCTGACACGGCACCAGCTACTACAACCAGACACCCTACTCTGGTCTAGAGACTCACATTACCAACTCTTACGCTAATTCCCTTCTGCAACTCTTCCGCTTTACGCCGCTGCTACGAAATCTTGCTCTGCAACACACTGCTTCGCCATGCCTCTTTGAGTCTTGCCTTCTTTGCGAACTGGGTTTTCTCATCGATATGCTCGAAAAGGCGGCTGGGCTCAACTGTCAAGCATCTAACTTCTTGAAGACCTTCAGTGGCCTTTCGAATGCAGTTTCACTGAATCTGCTTGAAGAATTTGCTCCCAACGTTGCACTTACCACTATGATCCAGAACCTCAACCGCTTTCTGTTAGACAAGGTTTCCGAAGAATTCCGACAAATGCTTCCAGGGCACACTGGGCCTTCAGCCATGGATCAAGTACTGGAAACCCAAGCAAAAGCGAGCATGAGATGTGCACAGTGCAACAACGAAACCATCCGTGGAGGCAAGAACTTCGTCAATGAGCTCGTGTATCCTGCGAAGCAGGTGATGCGGAACACTAGAATAGCACGTCCGACCTTCTCACAGATCTTGAAAGCCAGCGTCGAGCGGCAAGATCAAACTCGGGGTTGGTGTACAAAGTGCAACCGCTATCAGCAGATGGTACAGCGGAAGACGATCCAGTCAGTACCTGGAGTGTTGATGCTCAACGCTGCCATACAAAGCCATGAAGCCAAGTTGTTGTGGTCGACGCCCAATTGGCTTCCGCAAGAGATCGGGATCATAGTAGATCAAGGTCAATTCTACTGTTTCGAAGGCCAAGACCTGAAGCTACACCTGCAACGCGGAGTACATCAGATCATGGTTTATGAACTTGTTGGAGTTGTCGCGGATATTAACAGCGGCGAGCGTCAGAAGCCTCACTTGGTAGCGACCATCAACACCGCACCTTCGTCACGAGAAGAGGATTTAGAGGACAGATGGCATCTCTTCAACGACTTCCTAGTGAGGCCAATTCCCAAAGAGGAGGCTCTGCGCTTCGATACAAGTTGGAAGCTTCCGTCTGTCCTGACCTTCCAGCTGAAGTCTGCCCGTAACAAGATCGACGACTCGTGGAAACAGAACCTTGACACTTCCATTCTGTACAGGTGGTGGTCGTCTAACCCAACGCCTCCCGAGGAGAAATTTAAGCTGCTCCAACACTCGTCAGAAGAGCCACGCCCTGGCTACCCAGTCGCTATCGATGCCGAGTTCATCCGCCTCCAAGCTGAAGAGATCGAAATGAAGGCTGATGGCACCCGCCAGACCATTCGTCCTGATCGCAAGGGCTTAGCTCGTGTCTCAGTATGTCGCGGCGAAGGAGAGCAGGCAGGCCTTCCCTTCATCGATGATTATATCGCTGTGACCGAACAAGTGGTCGACTACCTCACCGAATGGTCTGGTATATCTCCGGGCGACCTCAGCCGCGAAACCTCTCCACACGCACCAGTATCCCTGAAACACGCCTACAAGAAGTTATGGCTGCTACTCAATCTAGGATGTGTCTTCGTCGGCCACTCGCTTGCCAACGACTTCCGCACCATCAACATTCACGTCCCCAAGAACCAAGTCGTCGACACAAGCAACCTATGGTTCAAACCAGACTTCAAGCGAAAACTGAACTTGAAGTTCCTGGCTTGGTGTGTACTCAAAGAGAGCATCCAAGAGGATACGCACGATTCCATCGAGGATGCGACGACGGCGCTGAAGCTGTGGAGAAAATGGCAGGAGTTTGATGATGCGGGCGTGTTGGAACAGATGTTGAATGACGTCTATGCCAAGGGCAGTTTGGTGGGATTCAAGGCGCCAGGTAGTGGGGGAAGAGCTGTTGGGAATGGTGGGCAGGGACAAAGGGCTGTGAGTGGTAGCTATGGTGGGGATGTACCGGATCCATTGACCACGCCGAAGAAGGGAGGTAGCCAGTTTGGTAGTATGGGCTTCCGCAGTCCGCTCAGGCGCTGATATATGACTTTGTGTGTAGGTAGAAACGAAATCATACTATTGGGAATTGAATATCACTCCACCAACGTTTCCACACGCTCTGTCTCGTGACTGGTAGAATTCCATTATAGGACTATTGATCGTGAATACTATACATCGCTATGCCTCACACCATCATACCCTTGGGTTTCCCCATGTCTACCATGCCCTCCATTTATAGAATCTCCCAAGTAATTTTCCTCGATTCTTGTTTCAACCGTCTTTGTAATGCCTTCGGGGCCCAGTATGGATTCTTCACTTGTATTCCGGGTATCCCCTACGGGAGCTTTACTAACCCTTTTTGTTCCATTAAATGAATAGAGCTCCATGTGTCCCCTTGAACGCGTGCGAGCCGTACGACTGAACATCTTAGAGTTCGGTCCACCGACCCCGTAGGACACTGGATATTGGCCGGATGAATTGTGGGATGAGGATGCGAATGCCTTGGTAAGAAGAGGTCGCAGCGCTGGGGCGGAAGCGGATATGATGGCTGCGTTCACTTCGATTTGCGAGAGCAAGAGGATCTGTTGCATCGTTAGTCATAATAGTCACGGTCGCTACTGGGTCGGTACTTACAAATATATCATCGTATGGTGGATCATCCGTTACAGCGTACACATAGAGAGCGTACAGCCGGACGATAGAGGCGATCACCGCTACGCCGCCGACCATGAACACACCGAGGAGCGCAAATCGCTTGGTCCGTTGAAGTTTCAGTTGCCCAAAAGCGCGCATCGGCATAACCAGGATAAAGATGTCGGTGAGGATGTTCACCGAAGCCATCGAGAAGTATGTCTTGGCAAGATCGTTACATCCTTTCGGAAAGGTTGGGGACCAGGCTCTCCATGGTTCTTTTCCGCACTCGAAGGCCTGGGGAAGTCAGTGGTAGGCTCAGGGAGGTATATGGTAGCTCCGCGTATGACTTACATTGACAAATGTGACAACGATTGTTTGAACAGCAACAAAAGCGGCTACACCGTACACGGTATAGCGGAACTTGGTTTGGGTGAAGATTCGATGGTAGAGAGCCAAGATGCTAGCTTTGACGAAGAACAATGCCCATGGGTACACGAGCTGATACGCATACCTGGAGCAGAGTCAGTCGTAAAATTTCTGTTTGGACAGTAGGTGTCTTACCAGTGCTTGAATGTAGGGATCAAGATGATCGAAGCATCCAAATCGGCGTTGTGTCGACTTTCTCTTCCGTTAGTAGTCATATGCTGTGTAGACACGGATGTACATACCCAGTTCCCCAGCTAACAAGGAAACCATTCTGAATGCCGAGAGAGACTGATACCAGCCATGCAGCTACCATGAACTTGTCATCGAGTCCTACGTGTCGTGTGAAAGTGAAGCGACAGTAAAGCCTAGGAAAAGATGAGCAAATGGTCAATGAATATACTTATCAAGGGCTGAGAGATCTTACCTAAGCGCTACTGCTATTGTCGCGAAGAAGATTAAAAATCCAGTCGTGATCACGAACATTGGCTGCCGCGAGCCATTGTCCCAAGTGATACCATAGCCACCGTCTGCCATGTTGTTTGTATGCACTCACATCAGAATGGTTTGGCATAATGGGCACGAACCATGACTATGAGTACTGCCAACTTCTCCTTGAATCTGCCCAGCCGTGTCGCAAGACGACATCACCCAACAGCTTCATCTTGCAAATCCTTCTGTTATTACATGCCGCATTTCCAAGAGGACTGAATGAACTCCGTCCTCGGCGGCTAATGTCTCGGAGCCACCATTGGACAGATGGAACGGTTGGACGACGACACAGTGGGTAGGATTTAGGACTTCGGTGCGACTGTCCTCGTTCGGTCATGGTGGATGTTGGTGATGCGGCTCTTCGCTCCAAACAGTCTAGCTCCCCTCGGCTATCTGCGAGGCGGAACTGGACTCACCCGCGCGCTCTCCCCGTTCCCCAGCCGAGAGCCGGTACCCAGGAGGGCAGCGCGAATGAAGACGAAGAGTCCTGGGACGAAGGAACGCTCCGTTGTCGCCTAGACCAGGGCTTCTCAGCAGCTCCGTGCCGTGCCTTCTCTTCCCAGCATCTAATCCCGTTCGCCACCATTGACCCTATTTTTTCCCGTCAATCCCGAGGTCGCCAACAAGAATACCTGGACATGTTGGGCTCCTTCCAATTAATGCGATCGTTAAACACACGACTCAGACGTTGATTGTGCCGCAGCGCGGAGGCGGGCCAAACCGATCCATGGGTTCTCCCGTCCCTAGCCCACACACCTCATCGCAACGGCTTTGCTGCTCGAGCAAAGACACGCGCTGGGGAGCAAAACACCGATAGAAACAATACGCCTCCTATCAGCTGCTTTGTTCCGAACTCAAAGAATCCCATGTGACCGCCAACACGACAAGATCGAAAGGATGAGGGAAGAAAACACGCATCCATCTAAGCTATCTCGGCAACGACCTCTTGGCTATGCAAGGTAAATCCTAGAGGAATATCCAGACCGGCCCACCGGCCACAATCATCCGAAATTGTTGTATGCTTCAATGCTTAGGCAATCATAGAACGTGCGTTTCCGCTTCAAACTGGTCTGACCATGCCACCACATCTAGACCGTTGGCGCGCATGGGTGAACTCAAAGGAAGAACGTCAATAAGGGCTTCCCGTGTAGAGCGCCTCCGAACCAATCGACTCCGCTTCAGCGCCACATGGGAGGAATACGAGCCGTCCAAGCTCTCGGTAGCTTACATTTGACGGAACATGCACTAGCCACGCTACGTCTTCCGCTCGGGACATTTCCTTAGGCTCAACGGACGCTGAAAAGCCATGGGCATTTACAATAAGAGAATCCCCTGCAAAGAAGAGCTTGAACAGTTATAGCCTGCGATGGCATATGTACAGCATGGTATTTGGACAACTCGATGGCTACGCAGATCTCTGCGCCGCACGCTAACCCATGTAACATTGATTAGCAGGTACACATTCAACTTTTCCTTGCATGCGGCGCGGCTGCATGTCTCCTGAATCGCCATGCATACAGGAATTTTTCAGGCCCCGGACATCGCTCCAAATCCCACAGCGTAGGGTCCAACGTCCCGTTTCTATTCGCAATGCTCACGTCCGCTCGCCACTCACTGCCCTTTGCTCTAATTTTGATAGCGTTCATGTCGTTCGATGGGTCTTGCACGGGTAAAATGCGTCTGATAAGGCCTACAATGAGCCGCACATAAAGCTTGACGCCCACCATCTTTACAAGTCTCCAGGGACCTCAAGACTCCGCCTTCGAACAATCTGAAACACATAGCTGCGCATTTCAACTTCAACCGCAAATATGGTCAAGATCAACGTCCTCATCTCTTCGCTCTGCCTCGCTTCGTCGGCAGTAGCAGCGGCTCTTCCTGCACCTGCGGCCAAGACTTGCAAGAACCCCATCAAGCGCTACGAGTGGTAGGTCTAACACACCAGAAACTCTTCTGAAACCCTACTGACCACCTTCCCTTTAGGAAACAATTGTCAATCCCTCAGAAAAAGGCATACATCGATGCGGTACTTTGCTTAGCGTCGAAGCCAGCCATCTCCGGCATCGAGGGCGCTATCAACCGTTTCGACGACTTCCAAGCCGTCCACAGCAGCCAAACACCCGACATCCACTGGGTCGGCCACTTCACACTTTGGCACCGCTACTTCGTCGCGACCTACGAGAAGGCTCTGCGGGAAGAATGCGGCTACACTGGCGGCCAACCCTACTGGAACTGGTCTGCGGATGCGGAGCCTCAAAACCCCGCATCGACACGCATCTTCGACTCTGAGATCTGGCAGCCAGATACCGGCTTCGGCGGTAACGGCGTCAAGGTCGACCCCACACCCGAGACGAACCCCTTTGGTGTTGAAGGTGGAACAGGTGGTGGATGTGTCACCAACGGACCTTTCACACCCGACAAGTTCATGGTCAACTTCCCGGAACCTCACTGCCTGAAGCGCGACTTCGTCCCTACCCTCATCAACGTCTGGGCCGACCAGAAGCTCGTCGATAAGGTCATGGCTTCGAAGGACTACACTGGATTTGCCCGCGCAGTCGAGGGCGAGGCTACCTTCGCAGTACCCAACATTCACGGCAGTGGTCACTTCGGTGTTGGCGGTGCTTTGGGCCAGGCTGGTGATGCGAACAACAGCCCCGGTGAACCCGTGTTCTATCTCCACCACGGCAACATCGATCACATCTTCTCGATGTGGCAGCAGAAGGACTTGAAGAACCGCCTTCACCAGGTAGGTGGCCCGATCATTCCTTTCGACTACAGTGGCAAGAACGTTACTCTGGACTTTGAGGTTGGTCTGGGTAAGTTGGCGCCGACTGTCAGGTTGAGGGATCTTTTGGATACTCAGGGTAAACTCCTCTGCTACACTTACTAGAAGTAGTAGATATTCAGGCACTTCATGTGTATATTTAATAAATAATCTATCACTCAATCATGATTCCGTGTCCTAAGCTTGTCTTGGCAAGGCACCAACAAACATGCAGCCATGTCGGATAGATAGGCACAGTATCTCCTCAAAACGTAACTTGGTTGACCAGCTCAGAAGACGGCCAAACAGTTGGAGCTGATGGCACTCACCCTTTCATCGCAGGTCTCGCCAATCAGAGGCAGCAGAATCGCACTAGCGGCCCACCTAAGGTTTTCCCCGCCAGAGCAGCGGACACCAAGCCTCCACATCAACTTAGCTCCAGTGGGAACACCACCTCTGGCACAATTCCAACTCGACTCTACATGCCTCAAGTGTCAGTAATCATTGCCGCAGTACTGTAGCGCATCGCCATGGCCCTCAACCTTAGTTGCGTACACCGATACCACTGTCACGCCACTGATGAATCGGACTCTAGCTTTCACAAAGTTGCATATTGATCAAGCCATGATTCAAGTGTAACATACATCAGCCAAAAGCCAACGTGAATCAGGTGAGACGCTATCCTGGTTCCAAACGCATATTCCGCGAAGATACATCACCGCTGTTCAGAAATGGCGCACCACGAATACAAACCTCTTGCGGAACGTCACATCAGGCTTCTCAAGCTACCAGAAGCCTCTCACTGTGAAGAAAAACCTATTCTCGTGGATGTATCACTAAATGCACCACCTCCTTACGAAACGATCTCCTATGTATGGGGCGGGCAAGATAAATCGTGTGTCTATGAGTTGGGCTCGGGGAAGTCGGTCCTCATCACGCCTACATTGCGCACAACACTCACGCGAATTCGGCCTTCTTGTCAAACAGGCTATCTATGGGTTGATCAGGTACGGTAATACACTACCGAGCAGATGGAGGTGCCGTACTGACTCTGTTGTGATATTCATAGCTATGTGTCGACCAAACAAGCATCCCCGACCGCAACCAGCAAGTCGCCCTCATGGGCGAGATCTACAGCCGATGCCAACGCGTACTAATCTGGCTCGGGCAAGAAGTGCAAGACACCGAATCCATGTCTCATTACTTCGAAAACAGCGCATTCGTAGCACCCCAGCTCCACGCCTCGTCTTCATTTTCCTCAACAGACAGCCACCATGTACCTCCTGACCAGAAACCCCTCATCTTCTCCCTCCCCCGCCAACAATCCTTCGTACGCTCCTTACTATCCCTCCCCTGGTTCAGCAGAGCCTGGGTAGTCCAAGAAGCCGTCCTACCACCCAAAGCCACCTGCTTCCTCGCCTCCTCCCCCTTTCCCATCGATGAGCTATGGGCCGTTATCCGGCGCTTCAGAAGTTCTGAAGACCGCATCTCATCCGCAGACTACGTCGGTTTACGACAGCTACAAGGATACCTAGTACTAAGCGAGATCATGCGCCTGCGAGACCAACGGATGGGCGTCACAGGTGAAAGCAGCAATGGTGGAGAAAAATCTTCTTTCTACCACTCGCTCTCGCTGTTTGCGCCGCGGTGTAGGACTATGAATAAGCATGATATTGTCTATGCGTTCCTTGGACTGCAGAATGAATCGCATAGGCGTATCTTGCCTGATTACCATCTTGATTGGAATGAGGTTCCTGTTATGGTCACCAGGTCCATCGTCGAAGCATCGGAAAGCCTGGATCTCTTGGGCGTACTGCATCGAAGGGACGACGATGAGACGCGATGGTCGGATCTCCCGTCCTGGGTTCCAGATTGGTCGCGACGGTTGAAAGCTGAGGCGTTTGTGTTTCCGAAATATCATACGTACTTCGACGCCGCGCGCGGGATGCGGCATAAGCCGGAGAAACGAGATGGTGTCCCTTCATCTTGTTTGGTTTTCAGAGGGAAGATAATCAGTGAGGTTACGCATACACTACCCTTCACACAGATCGACAGAGAACCAGCAACAAGCCGTCATCAATGGCCCGTACATTACTACCTCAACATCGCGCGCTTGGTAAATGTTCTTGGAGAAATCTGGCCAGAAGAACGGAGTGTTCCATCTCGAAAGCACACATTAAAGACGTGTTTAGCAGATGGCTCATTCGTATTCAACCGAACAACATCGGAC